GTGCGGACAGCAACATGACACTCGCTGGCGATGTTATCGGGTCTCCATCCAAGAAGGAGATATCGCAATATCTGAGCACGCTTTACAGGACTCAAACCACGCGTTAGACGGCGACGAGGACGCTCAGGAGGGTATCTATAAGCTCCGGGGATTGCTTCGTTTGCTGGAGGTTGGGGTGCAGAGGATTCTGGAGAGTTGGTCGCCTCGGATGCCATTTTTTCTGCGATACGGGGGTAATCTCGATATCGGCACAGACATAGGCTATAATTTCCTAATTAGAAAGTCAGAAGAACCTCAGATATGACAAATTCAGTAAAAAATCGATGGGATTTGGTGAGAAAAATCAGTATTTGGTGGTTTGGAGGGCTTCCGATACAAAAGTTGCAATTTTTTGAGGTTTTGGGGTGCCAAGACTGCACCAAATTTTGCATAACGTAAATCGCTATCTCGGCTTGGCGCCGGGGATTGTGCATTAGTCAGAATACGCTCGTTGAGCACGTTTTCTCCTCCTCCCCCTCGACGTGGAAGACAGCCGTCGTTTGAGAAGTCTGCTCCTGGAATTGTCATGGAGGCTTGGCCATTTCTCCTGTGAAGGTACTTATAGCGTCTAAGTACCGGTCTCCAGGCGGGAGCGACCGCGCCCAGGGGCGCGATGAACTACCAGACGATGGCCATGGCAAGGGATGCCCACCCCGACAGCGACCTGCGGTCACGAATCCCAGCAGCTCCTGATCACCATGCAGATGACGATGGGGATTTGGGCGGTGATGCCATCGCCCAGAACGACTATAATGTCGCCTTCACGACAACGAGATCGCCCGTCACTTCCGCCCAGAGCTTCACGCCGCGCTCTCTGCTCGTCGGCATGATTATCGGCACCTTGATCACCTTCACCAACACATATTTCGGTCTCCAGACTGGCTGGATCAGTACCATGGCCATGCCATCCGCCCTGATCGGCTTCGCGGTTTTCAAGACCTTGTCAAAGCACCTTTCCTTTCCGTTCACTCCCGTCGAGAACGTCCTTATACAAACGGTTGCCGGTGCGGTAGGGACGATGCCGCTGGGATGTGGCTTTGTGGGCGTGATTCCAGCGCTGGAGTTTCTCTTGAGAGAGGGTGACGACGGTCCCTCAGGAGATGGTGGCACGGGAGAGGGTGGCCCGCTCAAGGTTGGTTTCTGGAAGCTCGTCGTCTGGAGTCTTGGGGTCTGTCTCTTTGGCGTCGTCTTCGCGGTCCCGCTCCGGAAGGAGGTGATTGTGCGCGAGAAATTAAAATTCCCCACTGGGACTGCGAGTGCATTGATGATCAGAGTCCTACATGGCGGTTCGCAGGCAGACGAGAAATCGACGGCGAGCCACAAACGCCCTGGAAACGAACTGGAGAGCGAAGCACTCTTGCCAGCCGAACAATCCACAACCCCGGTCTCACGAGCGGAACGAAGTATCGCTACAAAGGACAGCCGGAAAGATTGGAAGTCCAAGATACGACTGCTTGTGGGGGCGTTTGCGGTGTCTGCGTTCTATGTGAGAGCTTCAACTATATTGTTGATTGATGGATGCTGACAGTGTTAGACCCTGTTCTCTTATTTCATCCCTCAACTCCGCGACGTCCCGATCCTTGGGGTTTCCCTCGCTCAGAATTGGCTGTGGACCCTTAATCCTTCCCCTGCATATGTCGGCCAGGGAATTATTATGGGCCCGTCCACATCGATGCACATGCTAGTTGGCGCGATCTTCGGATGGGCAATTCTGTCACCTCTCGCGAAGTATAAAAACTGGGCACCAGGACCGGTGAATGACTGGGAGAATGGAAGCAAAGGGTGGATTGTTTGGGTATCTCTCGCGATCATGCTGGCTGATTCTATAATCAGCTTGGGTTGGCTTATCATCAGGACCTTGCTTGGATATGCCCCGAGGCTGAGACCAAAGCCTCGGTCTATTCACCGCGATGGATGGTCCTGGTTCAGTCTTTTTAGCCTTGAACGCCGTTCGCGTGTCGGCTATTCCGCCCTCAACTCCTTGCCTGGAACAGAGTCAAGTGCAGGTAACGGGAGCAACACCGACAATGATGATGCACCGCCATCTCAGCTGGTATCAGCGCGAACGGTCATCATCTTGCTTCCGCTGACCCTTGCTTTGAACGTTATTTGCATGCACATTGCATTCGGTAGCATTATCACCCCGTTTCTCTCCAGCATGGCTACTCTCCTAGCCCTGCTGCTCTCGATCATGGGCGTTCGTGCCCTCGGGGAGACTGATCTCAATCCTGTTTCAGGCATCAGTAAACTGACTCAGCTCATCTTCGCCTTGGTGACGCCTGCTGCGCAGCATACGCGCCGCTCGGCCATTGTGACCAACCTTCTTGCTGGCGCGGTGTCTGAGTCGGGCGCTCTTCAGGCCGGGGACATGATGCAGGATCTGAAGACTGGCCATCTCCTAGGTGCGAGTCCCAAAGCGCAGTTTTACGGGCAGTTGATTGGCAGTCTCGTCGGAGCTGTGATTTCGACCGCTGTCTACAAGATGTACGTGAATGTGTATGATGTCCCTGGCCAGATGTTCCAGGTGCCTACGGCGTATGTCTGGATCTTCACTGCCCGTCTTGTGACTGGGCAGGGCTTGCCTCCGATGGCGTGGCAAGCATCCATGATTGCTGGTGCTGTGTTTGTTGTCACGTCGATCCTGAGGATCATGGATGCCTACAGAAGGGCTGGATCTCGATCCTGGAGTGCCTTGATACCTGGGGGGATTGCCGTTGCTGTCGGCATGTTCAACGTGCCCTCGTTCACGCTGGCGCGGGCCATCGGAGGAGCGATTGCATGGTGGTGGTCGCGACGGCAGAAGCGTAGCACCACTAATCCCGACAGTCTCGTAGACAACCATTTACACCATCATGACCCTGCAACACCAGAACCAGTCGCAACGCTAGACGTTGCAGAGGAAACAGCAGACGACCCTGACACCACCACCGCCGAAGACGACTCTTCCTCGACAGTGGTCGTTCTTGCATCCGGTCTCATCCTCGGCGAAGGAGTCATCAGCATTCTGAACCTCGTTCTAGCTAGTTTTGGTGTACCGCATCTTTGACGTGATGTGACGTGATGACGACACGATTACCTTGCATGTTGCATTTATTCGCTTTTCGCACTGCATATATATCCATCTATCATCATCCATATATCATCCATTTACCATGCTGCATGAGTTGGCTGAGAAATTGAGTTGAGAATCACAAGAGTTATCTTTTCTAGATTCTCTGACAACTTCGACAGTCCCGGTAGGGAGTAGTTTAGAACTGTTTCGAATCAAAGTTGATTGACTCGTGCTTATTTATATAACCATGTAATAGACCTTCGAATTGTACGGATGTATGTACGTAGATCAATCAATCAATCCATTGCCCAGGGACAGACAGCTTTATTCCGTTTATGATAAATAAATCTTGAACGTTACCCCCGCCATAGTCAAGAACCAAAACGTCCGTCACATTCGAGAACAAACGGAGGTAGAAGAGGAGAAGTGATTGGTATAGTATTTACTCCTGTTTTTCATCACGCAATGAAACTTTTTTTTCCGGCGGAACAACTCACCTCCTATACGAAAGAATGTATACGTATGCAGGACAGTTTTTGCCGAGAAAGGAAAGATCCGTCTCTCATTGCTTTTTACAAAGGTCAGTGCATCCCTGACAAAAAAAAAACAGCCAGTAGCCACACCCTCCAGAAGCGTCCATTGACTGTTTTGGCATAAAGATGCGATGCAAGACAGACAACGCCAATGGTGTCAGTTCCGTCCTGCTCGGGCCTCCCAGCAGACATGCATGCATTTGCAGGCATTGCAGGCATGCTTGGGTCAATGCGTCGAGGTCAGCAGGATACCCCGCTTGCGAGGATTGATGACCTGCTAAGATGCAGTATTATATTATTCTTATATATTTTTCATGTGTTCCCGGCCTGGTCTTCATGTGCTTTGTGCTTACTTGGTAGGTAGTTTTCTTGCGCTGAACTGACGCTACTTCACCAGCATGGCAGCAGCTCTGACCGAGTTAAAGGACTTCCTCGAGGTCCCTCCTCTACAAGCAGCAGGCTCAGCTGCTCTTCTGGGCATCGTGCTGCACTGGTCCATTTTCCGCAACATCGAGGTCGAAACGTATCTCTATGAGTTTCTTGCCTTGTACCTCGCCGCCGTTTTAGGGCTCGGCTACTCGTACGCGTCATGGACGGACTTTTCGATCATTCAATCCGCGACGAGGGTTCTGCTCCTCGCATCGTCCTTCAATGCAGGTCTCGTCCTGAGCATCGGCGTCTATCGCTTGTTCTTCCATCGCCTTCGTCGCTTTCCTGGCCCGTTTGCAGCAAAGCTCAGCCGCTTCTACGCCATGGCCAAAGCGGCAGAGAAGGTCCAGTACCATGTCGAGGTGGCCAAGATGCACGACAAGTACGGCGATTTCGTCCGGACAGGTAGAGGTCGTCATACCTATTATACTGATACTTTTCTAACTGCATGTGTTTCCTGCAAGCCTTCGTGAACTCTGCATTGTTCGCAAATCCGCCGTGCCGCTCATCCACGGGCCGCAGTCGCAGTGTCTGAAGTCGACCTGGTATGGCCAGGTTTCGACCGATCACACCAAATGTTCGATCCATATGACGCGGGACTTTGACACCCACCGGAAGCGCAGGAAGGCGTGGGATAGGGCCTTGAGCATCAAGGGTAAGTCCATGTACAGTATACGTGATGATTATCGTGTTTGGAAGCTGGCTGATCTTGTCCCCAGCTATCGCACAATACCGGCCACGCATCAAGGCCAAAGCCGATCTGCTCATCGCGCAGATCAACGCGAATCTCGGCAAGCCGCTGGACGTGACAGCGTGGTCGATGTTCCTCAGCTTCGACATCATGGACGAAATCGGCTTTGGGAAGGACTTCAACAATCTCCGCACGGGCATCGAGCATACAGCCATCCAGGGCATCCACAAACACATGACCAGTCTGGAGATCATGAGCATGGTGCCGTGGCTGCTGAATCTGATCAGTCGCATTCCTGGGGCTGCCTCGGGGTATTCGAGCTTCTTCAAGTGGTGTGCTGATGAGCTGAGGAGTAAGCGACAGGTAGGCCATCCACCTGTCCCTGACTGATTGACTGACGACATTGCTAAGACGATGCCTTATGTCCACTAGACATGGGATCCTCAACAGGAGCCCCAGGACATCATGTCCTGGCTGCTGAAGGCGTTCGTCGAAAAAGACGTCTCTGCATCTCCTTCCGAAACGGCACTAGAAGAAGACTCGCGGGTGGTTATTGTTGCAGGGAGGTAAGCAAAATCCCACATCTCATTCTGACTGACTGCACCCACTGAAGATTTGATTCCCAGCGACACCACAGGATCGACCCTCGCCACCATCCTCTTCTACCTAGCCAAGTACCCCGCCACGATGAAGAAGCTGCTGCGTCTGCTCGACGAGGCAATGCCCGGCGGCGCGCAGGACTGGTCCTACGAGAAGGTCACGTCGGTGACGTTCATCGACGACATCATCAACGAGACGCTGCGTCTGAGGCCCGCCCTGCTCACCGGCGGATACCGCGTCACGCCGCCGGGCGGGATCCAAGTCGACGAGGTGTACGTGCCGGGCGACGTGAACGTGTTCGTGCTGATCCAGCTGATCCAGACAGACGAGCGGTACTACCGCGACGCGCAAGACTTTGTGCCGGAGCGATGGGGGGAGAGGAGGGAGGAGATGGGGACGGACAGCGCGCCTTTTCTTCCTTTCTCACTTGGTTAGCAGCCTTCTTCAGCTGAGCCCAAGGATCTTAAGAATCTTTTTTTTTTGCTGACAAAATTTATATTATTTACAGGCCCATACAGCTGTCCCGGCAAGAACCTGGCAATGATGAGCCTGCGCATTGCAATATCTTGCATCGCGCAGCAGTTCGATATATCGTTTGCGCCGGGGGAATCGGGCGAGGGATTCGATAAAGGAGCGCTGGATGCGTTCACCACGACGCTGCCTCCGCTGTTTGTTCAGTTTAGTCGGAGGTAGCAGGTAGCAGCTGGCTGTACGTAGCTGGACTCTAATTATCCTTTTTTTTTTCACACAGTGAAATGGGGAATATCTCCTATCTCATAATAATGATAATTAATAATGTATTTCGTTATGGGAGAATGAGAATGTAACTTGAGTATTTCTTTCTTTCCTTATCAGTAAGCTCGAACTTGTATGTACTGTACATTCTACATAACATATCTAGTGGAATAATAATAATAATTAAAACAAAGTTGTCGACCGGGCCAGTATCATCCATACATATAATACATAGTAGGGTTGCTACACTAGACAGCACCTGCTAGTAATCTACTGTTCATGGAGATACATACGTATGCATGTACTGTACAGTACACGAGTGTCGAAAACAAAAACAAATGATCAATTCAAGCCAACAAGTCACTGGTGATGGTGATATCAGATCATGGTGCCAGGACTATAGGATTAGGGTTAATAATACAATTACTACGGGGGAAAAAGTCCCCTCTTTAATAACTATTATTAAGTAAGATGAATGTAAATACCTACCTACCTTACAGGAGCTAATTAATTAGTGAGAGAGAGAAGTCGATTAAATTGGTCCTGACTGGAAGTGCCCAGCAGCATGCGATGGTTGTTCCATGCTGGCATTCATCCCATCCATACTCCATCCAGTCCGGATGGAACGTCTCATTGATTAATTAATTATATAATTATATAATATGTCTATTACATACATCTCCTGCCATTATTTTTTTTCCCATTAGAAAGGAGATAAATGTCTGGAGAAGAGAAGAACTTCAGTCTTGTCAGCGCCTTTATTATATTCTTTACAAGCAGTAATCGGAAGCGGAGATGAATTACCTGAAAAGGAAATTTCCAGTGCTTGTCGCAGATAAATAAATGTTTCCTGAAGAGCTTCAAGTAAAAACAATATTAATTTATTTTAATAAGTTACGGCTTAAAATTTCGAAAAAAGAAATTCCAAAAAGCAAGGTCTATGGAGTTGCCACCACAAGGCAACAACAAGAATTGAGAAAAAAAAAAGAATTGAATTTCGAAATTCCTATGGGTCCTAATTTACAACAACAAAACAGAAATGCACGCTAACAAGGGGGGAATAAAAAAAATGAAGAATACTCAAATCAAAGTACATGGCATTGGCAACTCAATGCTTGCTAAGTAAGCTATGTGATAAGAAAGAGGGGGAAAAAAAAAAGGTAGCACAGAGAAGAGAAGAGAGAGAGCAGACCTTAAATAAAAAGAAAAGGCGCTGCCTCGTAGCTCTCGTCAAAGGCTCCGGAAAGTGAAACTTAAATAAAGCAAGCTCCTACATGAAAGGAGGAAGAAAAACGAAGTAAAGGGTTAAGGGTGCTAATCGCTTTGCTGGACAAGGTGGACAAGGTAAAAAAAATTTAAAAAAAAAACAAACACGCAACATGCGTCTTGCTTAGCAGGACCTGCAGCAGTTTCATATCGGCTCTGCCTGATGGTTCCGGCTGCTGTAGACGGAAAAAAAAAGAAAATGGATGGGATCACTATTGGCGGCCATCCAGACGGCTCTAGAAAGAGAAAGTAAAGAATAAAAAAGGAAGAAGAGAAGTGATTTGAAGAACGACTGTTGCTGCCACGTCATCTAGCACTGGACCGTCTAGCGGCGTGTTCGTCGGCACAACCATGACATTCATATTGCACATCGCATGGCTAGATCTTGTTCAGTGGAGAGTCCACTAAATCGCCTGTCCAGGAACTGGCTTCCTTTCGATAGGTCCTTGCCGAGGAGGACCGGCAGGTGGTGCTCCAGCTAGAGGACTCGGTCCTGGTGGCCCATTTGCCCGCCCGTTGTTTCCACCGGCAGGGCTTGACGGCCTCGGCGCTCCTGGAGGTCCATAGGAACCAGGATTAGGGCTTGTAGGCGAATTCCGGGAAGGAGTGAGCGGTCGTGGAACATCAGCGTAGGACGCAGGAGACATCGGAGGGCCCGGCTGAGAGCGAGGCGGGGCAGGGAATGGAGGGCGATTTGGAGACATAGGGCGCTCCTGGTAGAAACGGGGAGGTCCTCCCGCTGGGGGACCCTTGCGACCGCCTGCCGGAGACATTGGACGTCCGTTCGGACCTCGAGGGCCTTGCCCAGTGCCACGGGGCTGGAGAGGATGTGCAGATAGGCAACTCCGCGGAGCGATACCTTTCCGAGATCCATCAAGGCTGGCGCATAGAGTCTGTTTTGCATTAATTAGCGCTCGCTCTACAATACATAGATATACTCATCGAAATCACCTACCCAACCATCATCGTAAACATGCAGGAGTCGCACAAGCTGACCAGCACGGAGCTCTATCTCGTCACTCAAAGCCGGAATGTAATCCATGTGCACGCGGTACACATTGCTTTGGAACGGCACGGCAGGGGACTGTGGACGAGAGCCAGCGCTGGCTGCACTATCGGGGCTGCCTGAAGCTTCACGAGGTTCCGGAGACGGTGGCTTTGTCGGGCTAGGATTGTCGGCACTCTTGGAAACAGCCACTGCTGCCGCCCCAGCAGCGATTCCAGCAGCGACTCCAGCGGCTTCGCCGGCAGAAGCGCCTGATTCAGAACCGGCAGGATGAGCAGGACCGGTAGGAGTACTAGTATCGGCGGGAGGAGTGCTAGGGCCGGTAGATGTGCTAGGACCAGCAGAAGTGCTAGTACCAGCAGGAGGGGTACTAGGACTGGAGGGAGCAGTGCTAGGACCGGCTGGAGCAGTCGCAGAACCAGCAGGAGGAGTAGTCAACTCACGAACCGGAGACGTAGCATCCGAACCATCCTTGGACACGGGGGGCGGCGGAGAAGAGGCCTCTGCAGGGTTCTCAAACGGATTCACCGGGTCCTTGAATGGATTCTGAGCCGCGTTGGCCACTCTGGGAGACTGCTGAGGCGGATTGTGAGCAGTGCCGTTGTAAGGCCTCTCGCTCACTTGATTGCCCGTCAGATTACGCGAAGCACCGGTTGACGCGACAGCCGCAGCTCCAGCCGCAGCTCCAGCTGCCGCTCCTACTCCAGCACCGAAAGCGCCCGCAGCAGCCGAATTTCCGCCAGCTGCTTTGGTCAAATCGAGGTTGGGAGAGAATTGAGTGACTGGGCGCAAGCTGACCTGAGGGGGAGTAGAGGGGATTGTAGGTCGTCGCGGGACTGTTGACTGGGTCATAGGCGGGGGATTCATCGCTGAGGCTGGGCCTCCAGCAGCAGACTTCTCATTGTCGCTCTGAGCAAGGCTCTCCTGCTCCTTCTTCTTCCTGTGTAGCCAGAAGAGCACCATTCCGGCGATCGCGGCAATTCCCAACAGGATCCCAAGTGCTAGACCAGCCTTGCCACCCGGAGACAGCCCCCCAGAGCTGGATGCTTTCACGCTGGCAGTCGGAGACGCAGCTGATGATGACGCGGCGGGCGTTTGATCTAAGCCGGCGGACGTGATAGTAGACGAGGTTGCTGCGGCGGCAGAGGTCAAGATGGCGGCAGAAAGAGATGTCGTCGTTGGAAGAGCCTCGCTCGTGGTACTTGGACCCGTCGAAGGGGCTTCGGTTGTGGATGGGAGTTCGGTCGTAGAGGGAGGTTCAGTCGTGGGAGGTGGTGCCGGGGCAGTGAGGATGGTTGTTGGAACCTCTGTCGTTTGCGCCGTTTGCTCTGTCGGTTGTGGCGGCGGGTTTGTCTGCTGCACAGGAGGACCAACTCCCACTGCCTTTGTCTGCGTATTCATATCTCCCACGGTTTGGGTTACATATCCACCGATCGGGCCCTCAAACGTGGGAGAAGCAGTGACATAAACCACTGTCACTAGTGTCTCAACGTGTCCATTTGGATTATCACCAGTCTTGTCTCGTTCACTAAAGCCCAAAAGATTCCCTAGATCCCCGATCAGACCACGCTTACTGTGCGCACCCCCATGGTCGTGATGTCCATGTCCGTGTGGCATGGTTGCTCATCCAAGCGACTGTGCTGCACAGCACAGTTATCCCCCAAGAACTGGAACTATATTGATGTCTCAGCAACAGCCTATCCCCAGGAGATATCTGGTGCACAAATGCCAGTATGGATTGATCCCAAAGTGATCATGCAAGAACAGGCGCTGCCTGACAAATGAGCAGAGGCGTTCGATATCCCACAATCAGATGCACATGTAGCTGGCGATATCAGTGTAACGCGATCAGAGAGAGACTATGCGGGACTCGGCGCAGAAAGAACGTGAGGCGGGTCCTGCTTGAGGACCTGATTGAAACGCACGAAAGGAGCGTGGGGTAGAGAATGAAAAGACAGACTACAGCCTGTGCAGGTCGATTCAATAGAAACGCGACAAGCTACCAGGCCGCATCAGATAAAAAAAAAAGACAGGTGGAGAGACGCACCCCAAGGGAACAAAGGTGGTGAGAAGCCACAAGGAGAAGAGAAAGAGAAGGGATTGCGCCAGGCAGGATGAAAAGACAGGCATCATGACTTAGTTCGGCTGAAAGACATGGGTTGGATGGGGGCTATGGCCGCCATGTGCCTGGTATCAATTAACGTATCGTGTGGTATCAGGCCAGTGGGAAAGTGTTGGAGCAGCCCAGGAGCGAACATGATTGGCGAAGACTGCCTCGTGCCTGGTAATGTGACGGTAAGGAACCTTAACCCCGCAGATCAATTTCACAGGACAAACGGCCCCGATCATCGCCCGGCTGGTGGTTTCAAACTCCAAGCTAGCTGACCGAGTGCTGCAGGGAACGCTGCTGTTTTGTTGTTTTGCAGCCGCGCCGTTCGCGTGCTGCGCGCCAAGACGGCTCCCGTCCCGCCCTGCTCCACTCTGATAGGCTGGCGAGAGATGGGCCTATCTCGAACAGGCAAGGCGCGGAGCCTGTGCACCTTCCGGGAAGAATTTAATAAAAACACGCTCCTTCCTCGGCCTGAACTCGTGCTGTTGCTCCTTCCTAATCTGCACCCTCGTGTTCCTTTACCGTGGTGCAAGACCATTTATTATTGGCCGTGCCTCTCCGGCAAAATACGGAGGACTTAGGCAGATTCTCGACCAGGGAAGGAGCAGTTCGAGGGCAGTCTGAGAGAGCACGAGGACATGGATTGCATGTAATGCCAGGGTACAGTCAGGTGACCTAGCACACTGGTCGTACCTTGGTCGAGGTAGACTACTAGAGAGTACGCTTGCGACCCCGAGCCATACAACTACCCTGATGTACAGTACAGTAAATGTGTATGGTGTTGAAAGAGTACCTTCGGAGTAATCATGCTGTATGGAGTAAAAGGACACTGCATGGCGATTGGAATTTACGTCGCTTTTCTCTGGTTATTATCAACTGTTTACGGGGTCTAACGATCCTGACAAGTGACTGCACAAGGAGCATCACTGCCACCAACAACCATCTCCATTCTTTCAATGCTAGATCGATCACTTTAGATAGTCAGAAGAAAAAAAAAGGCCTGGTTAGACAGTAGGTCTGAAACGATGTAAACTGTGTCATGCTTCGTCCTACCTTGTTGCTTAGCTTGCTTTGTGCTGTCGCATTGTCGGAATTCGAGTCGGCCGACATATCTCACTCCATGTTCCAACGATCATTACACCGCAAGGAAGGGGTGATTAAGAGCCTTCAGAAACAGTGAGTTGGCATCATTCATACACCAATTTGTACAGCAACAAGCGTCCCTGGTCAATTGCTTACCTCGGCAGCAGACAGTCTTGTCTTGCTTTCAAAACGAATCAGCTGGCTGGTCAGGTCACGGCCGCGAGAAGGCGCTCCTTTGAGGATCTCCTCCCACGGCTTGCCGGGGTATTCGTGGAATTCGACCTTGCCCCAGTCGGGCAGCTTGGACGTTTCCTGCGTGCTTGGTCAATTCTTCCATTGTTGAATCACCACCGCCATTGCAACCGGGTCACTCACAGGCCAAGTCTCCGCGGTGGGCGTACCGAGGGTCGTGAAGATGGATTGAATAAGCGCCAGCTCGGTGCCCGCAGGTCCCGCGTCAAACAGTTGTCGGTGATTCGGCAACACAGCCTCGGCCACCACACACCCTGCGGCCCAGAGATCGACAGTGGTGTCGTACTCCTTGTAGCCGAACAGGATCTCGGGAGCACGGTAGCAGGTGGTACCCACGTCAATGATTTTCTTGTTTGCAGGCTCTTTTTCCCGACTCCCCTTCCTTCCATGCGATGCCAAAGTCCGCCAGGTACGCAGGCCCCGCTGGCGACTTCAACAGAATGTTGGACGGCTTGACATCGCGATGGATGATCCCCAGAGAATGCAGATGGGCCAAAGCGCTGAACATATCTCGCAAGTGGGACCTTATCTGCGCTCCCGTTAAGACCTCTTTATGCAGTAAGTTGTCGAAATTATACTTCATGAAGGGAAACACCATGACCAGCCGGCCTCCAGAGGCATCAAACGACTCAAGAAGGGGAATGATATGCTCACTCGCGACTTCCCGTAGGATTCGGACCTCACGCTTCGCGTCATGGGGAGGATTCATGAGATGCGGCGTGGTCACCTTCAAAGCAACCAGGGTGCCATCCTCCTTCTTGGATCGATAGACGGTTGAAACCAGGCCATCCGCATGGTGAAGACAGCGTTGATACTCGCCCAGCTTAATACCCTTCTCCGTTGACTCCTCCTCCTCTTCCGGTTCGTCAGCCGGGGGGTTGGGGCTGCTGATCACCGGAGCCACGGACTCGGTAGCGTCTGCTTCGTCGATGGCCTCCTGGCACATTCGGTCATATTCTGTCTGATCAGTACCACATGAGTCACCATGTCCTGACACGCTGGGAAGTTATCCCCGTGTTGCAAAGCAAAATAAAGAAATCCCGTTAGTGGCAGACCTTTGACGTTGCCTTGTCATATGCTTCGCTCTCATATCGCCTGCCATGCGACTGAGCTTCCGCGTAGCTTGCAGATGGCGAGGCACGTCGATAGGCGGTAGCACTGTCGGAGCCGTGAGCATGTCGCCCAGGAAAGGGTGAGAGTCCAAAACAAAGCCGCTCACAGCCCGTAAGCTGAAATGTCTTACATGGCTTGGATTGAGGTTAGTCTGTCCGTAAAGCTAAGAGATTTCTTCCAATCGGCCCCAGCAGCCGCCATTGCGCTTTATGCGTGGATCCCGGGCTGTCAGCAAACGTTCTCCAAGGAATGGACGAGTGTGCGTGTCGAGCGTTGTCGTCAGAGCAGGCCAGTGGAGAAACTGCACTGACGTAAGAGCCACATTGCTGGGCCATGGATGCCGTACCTGATGCAGCTGGTGATCGCTGGTTCGCTGTTCTACTTGCGGGCGTAAGAGCAGGCGATAGACGGTTCTGTTCGCAAAGAGCAAGACTAGAATCGCGCAGGACAGCAACGACAGAGGTTGGGCAACAATATAATCCGGCGAGGGGTTCCAGAAGGTCGACGAAGGCGGCTAAAAGGCGAGGCGGAGCACGACTGCCGAGGCCGGCTAGCCTGCTCCGGCCTTCTGCAGCACCTGACTTGGCTTGGCCTGACGTTGCGGAACGGCTGCTCCACTCGTCGCGTGCGCATCGCAGCCCGTCATCCATGCCTGCTCGCTGCTCTCCCTCTGGCCCAGCACCTCTCGCCTCAATTACCCACGACCCGTCTCCTGTTCCACCTCGCCGCATCGACTATTATGCCCCTCGCTCAATCCCCGGCCGCCATCGCACGTCGCTCGTGAACAGCAGCCATGGAACTGTCAAGGCAGGAGTATCCGGCGTTGCTGGTACGTCCAACTGACCCGAGTCGTCGAAGCCTTCGCATCGTGACTGACAGCTCCGCCATGCGGGAAACAGACGTCGTTGCAGCCGGGCCAGGCGACGGCAGTTCTCAATGATCGCATTCGCGTCATCAACAAGATCAATGCGGATATTGCGGACTGGCTCCAGGTATCCTCACCCCCCCGTCCTAGCGCCGGCTGCGCAGCCGATAGAACTGCCCGATGGCTGACCTGATTTCGATTTCGGCAACAGGAGCGCCGGCGCGTGGAAGAGCTCTACGTCCAGGGCCTGCGGAAGCTCGCACGGCGACCGCAGCTGGATGGGGGTGCTGCTCTGGGGTAAGCGACCGTCGGAACATCGAGGTTTCTCTACGTTTACTAAGCGTGGCCTCAGGGTATTTCAGCTGCCATGGCAGCGGATCGTGAATGCTACCGAATCGCTCGCCGCATCGCACGAGACCTTTGCGCAGAAGATGGAGGAGGACGTCGAGAGGCCGTTGAGGGAGTATGCCACAAAGAACAAGGACCTACAATCCATGCCCAGCATACAGAATGACTTGGCCGCTCTGTCCAAGACGCTGGAAGCGGCCCAGCGGAAAGTAGACAAGGCCAAGGAGAAGGGCCACAAGGGCGCTGACAAGGTTGCCGCGGCTGTGTCTGCGCTGGAAGAAGCGAGCCAGCAATGGGAATCACGGGCACCCTTTGTGTTTGAGCAGCTCCAGGCTATTGATGAAAGCCGACTCAATCACCTGCGAGACGTCCTCACGCAGCTCCAGACGCATGAGGTCGACCAGATCGAGCGCAATCGACAGACGGCAGAGAGCTGTCTGAATGCCCTTTTGAATGTGCAAACGGCAGACGAGATCAAGACGTGGGCTACGAAAATCAACGGCGGGAGAGAACCTGTGCCGAGAAGGCAAGAATCAGGGACCGTCAACCCGTCTGATCTTCCTCCACCGCCACGGCTCCAGGACGATGCTGCCAGTCAGCATTCTAACAGGTCCGGTCGTTCCCGAGTGCCTCCTCCAGGTATGTGTCGTGGTCGTCGGTTGGCTCGTAGATTAATTTTGCTGATTTTCCAATCTGTAGCTCCGGAACCGAGGCACACGCCCCTTGGTGGGCTGAGACGACTAGGCACGGTGATGAATCGGAGAAAGAGCATCGTCCAAGCTCCCGGCGGCGCATTTCCCCTGTCCGAGAAAAAGAACCGTTCTCCATTTCCCTTCCGCAGAAGCGATTCGTCGCGAGAAGCCCATACACAGTTGCCATCTACTCCGCCAGGTCGGGATACCCCGAGCACTGGGTTTGATTCCATAACTACGCCACCAGACACAAGGCACACAGGGGA